TACCCACAACTTGTACTGAATTGGAAGTGTTTTATTGTGTTTAAATCTAACATGTATACTGTAAAGTTTTCATTTTGGTTATCTTCTCTGTTCAACAGAAGGATTAGTTAAAAGGTTTAATCTTAAGGCAAAGTTCCAGTTCTGTTTTAAGGATATTAAGCTCTCTGAAATCATTACTTTAGTTAGCCATTCTTGTATCTTTTTGTATCTTAAAAAAAAAAAAAAGTTTTGTTAATCTAATTAGGTCTTCTCGTTGCATCCCTAAGTGTCACTGGGATTTTATTTCCTTTTTTTTTTTAATTTTATTTAAAGCTATTAGGTTGTTTCCATGGTTACCCTGACCACTGACTAGCACCTCTGATTCCTTGCGATTGATGCTTATGAAACTTTGTTGTACAGAGGCTCCTGGGCAGTGGAAAATGTACAGTTCAGAGGGTTTAAAGAATAAAAAAGTGTGATTTCACAGGACCATTCCTTATTATTATTATTTTTTTTTTAGTTTGACATTATTTAAAAACTTGTGAGATGTCATATTTCTCCTATGCCGGAACTGATATTTATCTGCTTTGCACGGGTGTAGAGACCAAGAAATATAATGCATATTTAAAACAATAAATGGCACTATTCTGAAAATATGGTAGCTAAAATGTTTTGAATGACTAACCTTTGAGTTAGTAACAAGTAATTTTGGTATTCTGTGTGCATCAGTGTGTAGCAGCTGATTACATTTGGGCATTATTGCAACAGATTGTCATTTGACAGTGTTTTTTTCATAATACCAAGTTGCTGTGTGGAAAGCATGAAGAATCACCTTATAGATCCCATAAGTTTGCTCATTTTGGGTCTGTTTTGTCATTTGTGTAGATCCAAGCCTTTTAGAGGAATTTTGCCTTAAGCTAGTTTTGATGTAGATTTGATCATTAGTCCAACTTATACAAAACAGAAAATATGTAATTAAGATAAATTATTAAATTCAGGATGGGTTCAGAAGCATAGGAAGGGAGGATATGAGGAGGTAAACTGAAGCTTTCCATTCCACGCTGTCATGTATGTGATGATTTATGGCTGGGTATAATTACATGTTAGCTGTGTAGGCACAGAACTTCCCTGTTATAATACTAAAATTCACAGATTGATTTAGAGGCCCCATAGGACCAAGAGATAGAGGAAGTGATCTGCTACATCCAAAGATCTCTGCCTTTGGTTGTGTCCCGTAACTCATATGATACGGATCCATGAATGTATTATAAAATTGTTTTTCCCTGTCGGCTGGTACTTTAACATTCGGTTGCACTGGATAATCTCTGTTGGGACTGAGCATCTCAGTCTTAAGTTCTCATGAAGCTGCTTATTCTTCCTGCCTGCTTCCTTTTATGCCATGAAGGAAGGTGAGCCTCGTTCTAGCATCAGATAGAGACAGGATATATTTCCAAATCTTCTGCCCAGCTTTCCCCCACCCCCCAAAAAGAAGAAAAAACTCTTTACCCCTTGCTTAGGGGGAACAAGAGTATATTTACTTTTGTTAGGGAGAAAGCCAACGGGAACAACAGCCAGAAGAGGATGTATAGGGAAGAGAGAAAACAAGGAAAGCAGCTATCATGCTTATTCTAAGTGTCACCAGCCTGTAACTGTTTATGGGCACGAGGACTTCCTGAACTCAACGTAGCTTTCGGTTAACCATCAACAGGTTCCTTCCCTATGAACCTCCCTTTGAATCTGTGTAAAGTTTTAGCATCCAAATGCTAAAGGTTTCCGTTTACTTTTTATTATCTGTTAAAGTTCTTCTCCCCACAGAAAATGTGGGTGGTGTTATGCAAGTTGTGGCTATGGCTGGGACAGTGTTCAGAGGGTCGTGGTGCACAAGTTCTGTTAATTTCCATCTGTTCCTGGGTTGTTGTTTTTTTTTTTTTTTCCTGAGACCGCAAGTGTGGGATTGGCCCTTGTCAGGTGTCGTAGCCTTTACTCAACAATTTTTCAGAAAAGTGCTGGAGGAGCACCTGTACCGTTCCAGCTGTCTTGGGGTGGTTTGTGTCTAGCAGCTCTCTGACAGCACTGGGGGAGTGAGGTCCTCACAGGCCGAAGCCAGAATGTTTGGGTTTTCTCAAGGTATGAACTTTTGCACTAATGAAATAGCTATTGTATCTTAACAGCATGGGTATGTTAATGACAATAAACAGAAGCTTGTTGTTAAGTTAGGAAAACTACTGACGGAGAAGGAGATTTTCTATGGTATGTATTTGGGGGTTTTGTTCTCTGGATCATAACTGCCCGCAGAATCCAAGTCGTGCAAGGCTGATCTTTGCCTCTCTCCCCACAGTGTCTGTGGTGGTGAAACATCAGAGTATGGCTATAACCAAAATTGCTAAGACAGAATGGTCTGTATACAAGCATAAGTATTTTTCAAATTATTGTCATAGGTAAATTAGTCATCAGTTTTACTGATGATAGTAGACTTCTTCCAGCAGTGAATTTAGTCCCATGATACTCTAAATTTTGTAGGGCTCTTTTATGAAATAATGTTTCAGATATAATAGAGAGAGATAAACGAAAAGTCCCTTGGTATAGTAGGAAGACAATTGCTTCCTTCATAGGACAAGGGAAAGCAGAAACTAGGGAGTCATAGGTGGACTTATTAACACTGAAGGGGGAGGAGGTAGCTTTTGTTTGTTGTTCTCTCGTCTCTTGCACCCTCTTACTAACAGTCCAGCTGGAATGCTCACCCCGTGGCCAAATTGCAACCATGGCAGCAATGTCAATATTTCCTAATTGTAGTTAGCTGTTAGAGCATACTACTTTCTTGGTTTTTGCCTGTGTCCAAAATAAAAAATGGAATATAACTGCTTTCTTTGTGTGTTCTTCAACTAATTTATGAAGCAAACTCGTGTGTACTGTATTGCATAAATAAAAATATACCTAACCTTAAATCTGTGTTTAAAAGCAGCTGCTGTCAGAGTTTAGTTGAAATAACGGCCAGTGTAGATCTTTGATATGAACAGCATTTCTAGAAGAGCACAAAAAGAGCCTCGTAGCCACTTGGTTTCCACTGAAAGTAAATGGGAATGCAGTGATTTAGTTATCTTGGCATTTTTGAAAATCTAATATATGTAATTGTAATCTCTAGGTATTTTTTAGACTTTTAATTATATATGAAGACTGCATGTGTGTTAAGCACAGTGTGTTGCTGCTAGCTTGCTAAACAGTGAAGCTGCTCTTGTAGTTCCCAGGTTTCTAAACCAATAGTTATAGTCCTGTAATAATTATGTTCCTATAATAGTTGCAATGGAATTTTAAAAAATAATGTACCATTACAGTTCTCTAGTTTTTAATTTCCATCATGACTTCATTAGGTTAGTGGTGTTCCCTTAAAATCATTTTCTGCTACTATGAATTTTGTTTGAACAGAGAGAGCTTTCAGAAGGTGATACCTTGGTTTCAGAGGAATAAGAGAGGAAGTTTTACAGTTATGAAAAGTTAAGAAAAGTTTGAATCTAACGTAGCATTCTTCCAGGTCATTTGACATAGAGATACACAGGCCTCGTGTGCCTCTTGTGAGGGAAAAAGTATGCTTAGAAAAAAAACCAAATCATCTTAGATATATGCAGCTTTGGAAATACAGAATTAGAGTTTAAACTTCAGGCCTGTTTGGTTTTCCTGTCCTCCATACATACTGATAAAAAGAGTGAGAGTTACATTGACAGATAATTTTCTACGTTTCTCAACAGATTAAGTTTATTTTTATCTTTGTTTCCCTCTGGTACAGTCTGAAAATACAGTTTATGCAATTAAGATTGACTGTAGTGGAAAGTAGTAGGAGAACACCTGTTAAAAATTGAAAGCTGGTAACGATGACAGAATGGACAAGAAATGCAGGTCTTGTAGAGCGCCATTTAACTAAAATATTTCTTTGCTGTAAGTAAATAAACCTGAAATGAGGAATTCTTATTTGAAAAAGAAATTGCTCTGTTTGTTAGTCTGCTCTTCTCTGAGTTGCACTTTGGGTTTCCCTACTTCAGCCGTGCTTCTGGTTGCTGCACAGATTTATCTAAAAAATTAATCTGGTCACTACCTTTCCTTGTTTTGTGTTTTTTTTTTTGTTTTTTTTTTTTTTTTGCTCATACTGATTCAATTTGAACAGGAGTTCATATAGATCGTTGAGGACTATCCTAATTTGGATATTAAAAAAGCTGGAGTCTGTTATTAACCTTTATTTTTTCAGCTTTGTTACTGTCATCTGCCTACAAAGACTCAGTACTTTAAACATGTATTTCTGCTGTATTTGAATTATTATTGGGAACAATATATTTTTTCTGTATGTTTTGAAAACATGTTCTTCATTTAGCAGAAACTGCATTTCCTGCACCGACAGGGTGTGTTTACCTATTTTGGGTTCATTTCCCTATTTTGTTTTGCTGCTTAGCCATTATGTTGTGAACCAATAGCCTGCTTTTTCCCTAGGTAAAAAAATAACCGTTGCTGTCAAACTGCACATAAACAGGCTTCTTGGTTTTAAGCAGAAAAATAACCAGGCCAAGCATAGACTGGGCATCTATGAACGTGCCTTTCTGTAAGCCACCTTTTAATCAAGTGTGGGAGGTCACCAACTAAACCTCTCTCTTAACTAATTCAATAAAAAATACTGTCAGACAGCATTGACGTTCGAGGTATCACAGTGATCCTGAAACAACTTTTCAGCTATAGAAATACTTTTGCTTTCATATGGAACATGATTTGCCTCTGAGGATGAAATCTGAAAAATACTAATCTCGTTGAAAGTGAGCTTTTCTTCCCCTAGCTCTCCTAGGTGATATTACTCTCTCTAATTTTGTGCATCTAGAATTTTTTAGTGGTTACTTGAATTCTGCAGTGGAAGGTATGTAGTAAGAAAGACCATGCTAACTCGTTGCTGGCAAAAATATGTCTTTCTATGTTGAGTACTTGTATATCAGTGCAATTGCTTGATTTTTATTTTGGTATATAACATGACAAAATTTTATTTTTAGCAGGTGACTCCTGCCCAGAGAATGCCTTGCAGGTTATTGCAACATCTGGCCACAATGCAGATTTTCCGGTTGGCAATCAGCCCATCTCTGAGGATATTTATAGAATGAACTTGGCTAAAGGAGTCTCAATGTCTTTGCCATCTTCACCTTTGCTGCCACGACAGTGTTATATGATGCAGTCAAGATCAAACAAAAAGTCCCCAGGTAAAATGAAATTGATAACTTGACACAATTTATATGTTAGTAGCAATAAAATCATGTTAATCTTTTGCAATAAGAGCAAGAACAGTGCATGTTCTTTGCATGCTCCAGGGAAAAAAAGATAATTGGTGCTTAAATGGAATATTATACCTCATATGGCAAAGATTTATTCTAATTGGTTTAGCAAATACCTATATTGAAATGTCTGAATATGTTTAAAACCGATTATTTATGAGTAGCATTTAAGGTAAGTAGAAGACAGCTACAAAACCATTCTTTTGTGCATGGTAGCGACTGTATAAAATGATCTGTTGTTATTAATGATTACTTTAAAGCAGTATTCTTCTGGGAATGTTTTTACTCCTGTGTAGGTGTATATATATTTATACATACATACATACATACATATTAAAAGAATATAAATATATAGATAAGTTGCTGCTGAAGTTGTGGCAAGAAACTTACTAATTTTCAAAGCTTGTGTCCTTACAAATGAGGCTACTATGTGCTTATGTGTGAGCCTTACTAAATAAGGTGCTCCATCTGGTTTCCTTTTTATCAGCGTTCTGTACATACAAATCATTCCAACACGCTAGCATCACTTGAGTTCATTAAGGTCAAAGCTTGAGCATCAGGTGAAATTGTCCATGTTCCTTTTATTTGAGAAGACACTCAACAGTTTTGAAGTTTTTGTTGAAACGTTTATGAAGTTGAAGAACAGAGGATGGCAAAAGTTCCATTTTTGTGAGCACTGAGAAATGTCTTCATTAACAAACCATTTTACATAAAATTAAAGTAAAATCCTTGCTCAAAGTATTATCAGAGGATAGTAAACTAAGTATATTTTCTAGAAATTTTATTTTAAGTCATCTACATATTTTTCTTTTGAAAATTTTAAAATAATATTTATTTTTGTCACTCCCTGTTCAAATAGTTTTGAGTTGGCTTTGATGGTGCAGGTAAGAATTTTGAGCCACAGAATGATATTTGACAAGTGGTGTGCATAATAACTTTAAAAGCTAGGATGACTGTAATGTGGAAAGAAATGGGATTTTTGCCAAAGACTTAAACGAGGCCAGCCTCTACCCCCCGATTTGGTTACTTTTGGGAAAACTTATAACTGCACTCTAGGTAGATATGAAATGGTGTTTGACCAACCTCACAACTACATGACTTAAATTAAAGTGACATGCATTTTTCTAAGCAGAGGAAAGTTAACTGTTCTGTTGACCCTCTGGCTTTTTTTACATAAGTGCCAGTACATTCAAAGCACTTTGGAACCCCAAGAAATCTTTGTGCCTTGTTCCTTTTTTTGGCTGTGTATCACAACGGAACGATTTTGAAGTCATGATGAATTCTGCTTTTCATTTGAAATCTTAGCAGCTGTTATATGTTTTCTGCAGGGGAAACAATCAGCATTGTTTTGTAGAAATACCTAACCAGATGATAGGATACCATGGATGATAGAAATATTCTGTGCTATTCCTTTAACTTTCAACAAATTCAAGCTGATGCAAGGTGCTTTTCTGTAAATGATCAGGTTAGGATCTGGGGCAGGAATAATAAGAATAGAGAGGTTACTAGCTATACTGATTTTCAAGCAATCGGTGTTGTAGCGTGTGAGTAGTAAGTCAAGGCTTTTTCAGGATATGGTGGATGACAGAAGCAAGGGTTGCATAGAAAAAGGTTTACTAAAGTGTTTTGAAACTAAGATTTAGTGATGAGGTTGTTATAAACTGTGTTAGAATAAAATTCTAACTTCCATCCCCTCAGTGTACAGTTGAACACAAAGCAACTGCTTAGTGATATGTTTTTAATGTAAATGATACTGTTAATATTTTTTAAAACTATTTTGAATATATCTAATGTAATAGGGCTAAGGAAAAAATTGTCCCTTACAATACCATCATTTGTTCTATCTCTGTTTCTGTTTTATGGTTCTAACTCTTACTATAGCCGTGGCATGTTGTTGGTCATAAATATATACTGTGATGACTTTGTGTAACTTTCCTGAATTGAAGTTGTGAGCTGTCTGAAGGTATACTGTACAGCTTCAGTCTAGCAGTATTAGTGACTGGAGAGTATATTCTCTAAATGTTAGCTAGTATTTAATGTTCAGATTTTTTTCTTAATTTTTTTATTGAGTCTAAATCCATTTAATAAAAATTCTGGTTGGTAAATCGAAAACGGTAAAATTTTCCTGGCAATGCTTTGGAGGGAAGGGGGGAGTTGTAGTTAATTAATAGCTAGTTTAATAGCTAGTTGCATCAATGTTCATGAGAAAATCTAGATTTGAAGACCTTATATTCGGTATATTTTTTACTCTTCTAGCAAATGTGTCTGTTCTTTAGACTATATTTATCTAGTCCTGTACCTACATGTGCCGATTTAAAAATACCTGTTTAATTATGCTGTATGATCAGTGAATAGAAAATGTATTTCCTAGTTAAATATTTTTAAAAGAATGCGTGGAAGAACTTTCTGGAGTAAAAAGCACACTGTAAAATACTTTGTGTTTTTGTGTAGCTGGTATTGGCATTGATATTTTTTGCACAGAAATAGTTTGTGATGTCTAGAAGAGAAAAATCTTTAATGTAAATTAATAACAAGTTGCTCTTAGTGCTTCTTCTTTCATTGCCTTTTTTGCGTGTTTCCTAGTGGGTGTTAATTTGTCACTTTAGAGGGGTATTCTTGGTTTTGTTCCATTTTTCCTCTTCACTAAGGGTCATTACTCAAAATGTGACATTTTGAAGAAGGACTTGAACAAATCTTTTCCTTCCCATATTCATTCATCCACTAGCAGTCTGGTTATCCACTAGATAAACTAGCAGTCTGGTTATCCACTACATAAAACCGAAAAACTAGCATTTCAGTACCACTGAAAGGGATTCGGCTAATAATAAAAGTATGTTTTGTGCTTAATTTCTTACCTTTTAAAAAATTGCACGCTAATAGAAGGCGCTTGAAAGAAAGCAGACTCTTTAACTGTAGCCCATTAAGTAAAAGCTGTTGGGAACATTTTGGACATCTCATTAAATTTTGGTAATTTATGATATCATATAGCAGTAGTGCAATATGAAAAGACATGATTGAAGCCAAAATAATAGTTGTGAAATTTTATTTAAGCAATATGCAAATCCAAAAAGCAGTTTATTTTAGAATTTAAAATTATGGAAAAGTCGTCGCCCCCCCCCCCCACCCACCCATCTCCTCCCCCATGTGAACATTTGCTAATTCTGAAAGGTTAATTTACCTTCTAGGTTGCTTCAGTTGTCTTTTTAGTTTAGATAAACTTTGTAATTAAAAATGTTATGGTGGGAAAAGAATGTGATGTTTTAAATGACTTCCCCTTTGCATGTTGTGTACCTCTGTGCAATTTTCTTCTCCAGATGACTTCTGAGAGACTAGAATGCTTTTGCCGGTATGGATTAGCTGCAGATGTAATGTGAGGAGTATGTTCTTTTGGTTTTGTCCCTTTAGATTAAGAGGATTTTGTGCCATGATAGGCATATTTATTCCTTGAATAACGTAATTATCAGTTCTCAGGTTTGGATTGATCTCACTGAGAAAAGCACATAGGGACCTTAGCATTTAGTGAGTTACAGGCATCTGTTCAGAACGGATCTGGAAACTGCTAGTCTGGGCACCCGTTGGACCAACAAAGGACTTCTTATCTTTATTTTATCTCTTTGAAACTGCTGTCCCGTTCTCTAGCATCCCACTTTTCATTCCATTTATGTCGTCCACTACCCCTTAGGTAGGTGTTCAAGGCTCAAGTCTGAAGTGATCAGCCTGAAATCACACCTCGAATACTAAGAGTCCAGTATGTTGGCACTGTTAGTTATTTTATCGCTCCTGTCACAGCTGAACAGGCATGATGGCAGATGTACACAGCTGAGACAGAGTGACATCTTAGCTGCAGCGCACGTGTGGTAACAACTGCTTTTTTGCCCATCCATCTGCAAGTAGGTCAGCCCCTAGAACCTCATAACCCAAGAGCAGGGCAAACCATGGGAGAGCAAGCTGAGCTTCCAGCCTCACTGGAACACAGAAAGCGGCATGATCTTGTCTGCAGAGTCTAGTGTGAGTGACAGTGCGTTTTAATTATTTGCATAGGAGGTGGGGGAGCTTTTTTCTTTGTGAAAAGAGCTTGGAAGAGTACCAATGCTGCTTCTGGCCCCAGTTCAACCCTTGACTGTAACTATAAAAGGAGGGAAGAGAGAAACTGTATCTTAAATTACTAAAGAGCCAGAAGTTATCAACAGAACTCAAGCTACTGGTTCATTTGGAGTCAAAAGCTTCCTTAATGAAATAGTTCAATAAGGAGGAGAATAAAAGAGCAGAAACAAAGAGGACAAGGAAGAAGTTGTCAGCAGGAGGACCCTACCTGGGAAGGGGAATGCTAAATGGAAAACTGTCACAGTAAGTTGTTTCTTTTTCTAGAAAGTGAGAATGAACATTGTTTAGATTGCTAATTTTATGTAAGTGTAATTAAACAAGTATTGAAGTTCTGAAGGGGGGATAGTAGTTAATTGTACTGTGATTTAGGAGGGGCAGCTACAAGAATGAAAATATAGTTAATAAGGGAGATTGCAAAAAATTGTTATTGTACCTTAAGGTATGAAAGAAAGATACTACCACTAACTGATGGGGCAGCATCTTCTTACTTTGCATTGTTCACACCGCTGTGCTTGAACAGAGAAAGAAAGCAGCTCTACTTTTAAAGACATTAGTGAATGCAGAAGATGACTGCTGGATGAATCTTCCTTAAAGGTGTGATAGAACTTTTGTTTACTTAATCAGCTTACCTGGTGCCTGAAACTAGATTAGGTAAAAGGACCAGTTTCACTTAGGATTTGTGTTTTATGTTCCAATCTTGAGAATACTTGGAAGCAGTCCCTACAATAGGCTATTCATGTGCATGAACCTAAGCATGTGTCTCATAGGATAAACTCAGGTTGGAAGGGATTTCAAGATGTCTCTAGTCCAATCTCCTGCTCTCA